GGGGGGGGACTGGGGGATACTGGGGACACTGGGACTGGGAACTGGGAGAGTTGAAGAGATGGAGTGGACTGGAGACACCCGGAACTGGGAGGACTGGGACAGACTGGGATGGACTGGGCGATACTGGGGCTGGGGACTGGGATGGACTGGGGACACTGGGAGATACTGGGGATGGGGACTGGGAGAGATAAAGAGATGGAGGGGACTGGGGACACTGGGACTGGGATGGACTGGGAGGGACTGGGAGAGGAGAGATGAAGAGATGGAGGGGACTGGGGACACTGGGGATGGGAACTGGGAGAACTGGGATGCACTGGGGACACTGGGGATGGGAACTGGGGAGGACTGGGGACACTGGGGACACTGGGGATGGGAACTGGGAGAACTGGGATGCACTGGGGACACTGGGGATGGGAACTGGGGAGGACTGGGGACACTGGGGACACTGGGGATGGGAACTGGGGAGAACTGGGATGCACTGGGGACACTGGGGATGGGAACTGGGGAGGACTGGGGACACTGGGGACACTGGGGATGGGAACTGGGGAGACTGGGGACACTGGGAATGGGGACTGGGATGCACTGGGAGAAGGTCGGGGACCACTGAGGACATCAGGAAGAGAGACTGGGGATACTGGGAGCGACTGGGAAGGAACTGGAGCAGCTACTGGGAGGAACTGGGAGCGACTGGAGCAGAGGAGCTGAGGGTCCCCAAATCCCCTTTTCCCCCTCAGCGCCCCCCAAACCCCAAATTTTTATTTTTGAGACCCCAAAAACTTCCCCATCCCCCAATTCCCGGGACCTTTTCACCCCAATTTCACCCCAATTTCACCCCAATTTTATCCCAATTTCACCCCAATTTCACCCCAATTTCACCCCAATTTCACCCCAATTTCTCCCCAATTTTATCCCAATTTCTCCCATTTTATCCCAATTTCACCCCATTTTTATCCCATTTTTATCCCAATTTCTCCCCATTTTTATCCCAATTTCTCCCCATTTTTATCCCAATTTCTCCCCATTTTTATCCCAATTTCTCCCCATTTTTATCCCAATTTCTCCCCATTTTTATCCCAATTTCTCCCCATTTTTATCCCAATTTCTCCCCATTTTTATCCCAATTTCTCCCCATTTTTATCCCAATTTCTCGCCATTTTTATCCCAATTTCTCCCCGTTTTTATCCCATTTTACTCCTGTTTATCCCATTTTTACCCCATTTTACCCCATTTTATCCCATTTTAATCCCATAAATCCCATTTTTACCCCATTTTATCTCATTTTTACCTCATTTTATCCAATTTTAATCTCCTAAACCCCAATTTTACCCTATTTTATCCCATTTTAACCCCATTTTATTCCATTTTAACCTCCTAAACCCCATTTTTACTCCATTTTATCCCATTTTTATCCCATTTTTACCCCATTTTATCCCATTTTAATCCCATAAATCCCATTTTTACCCCATTTTATCCCATTTTTATCCCATTTTTACCCCATTTTATCCCATTTTAATCCCATAAATCCCATTTTTACCCCATTTTATCCCATTTTTATCCCATTTTAACCCCCTAAATCCCATTTTTATCCCACTTTACCCCCCAAAATCTCCCCTAAATCCCATTTTTATCCCACTTTACCCCCCAAAATCTCCCCTAAATCCCATTTTTCCCCATTTTACCTCTCCAAATCCTCCCATAATCCCATTTCATCCCCATTTTAACTCTTTAAATCTCGTTTTTTCCCTATTTTTTCTCCGTTTTTCCCCAGTTTTAGGTGAACTCCTGGAGCGGTTCCATCGAGGTTGGGGTGACGGCTGAGCTGGAGTTCCCCATCACCCCCAAACCCCCCTAAAATCCCATTTTTACCCCATTTTAGCTCTCTAAATCTCATTTTTTCCCGATTTTTTCCCCATTTTTCCCCATTTTTAGGTGAATTCCTGGAGCGGCTCCATCGAGGTGGGCGTCACCGCCCTGGACCCGGCCGAGCTGGAGTTCCCCAGCACCCCATAAACCCCATTTTAACCCCAATAAATCCCATTTTTCACCCATTTTAACCCCATAAATCCCATTTTTAACCCATTTTAACCCCATAAATCCCATTTTTAACCCATTTTTTCCCCGTTTTTCCCCATTTTTAGGTGAATTCCTGGAGCGGCTCCATCGAGGTCGGTGTCACCGCCCTGGACCCGGCCGAGCTGGAGTTCCCCAGCACCCCATAAACCCCATTTTAACCCCAATAAACCCCATTTTTCACCCATTTTATCCCATTTTTAACCCATTTTTTCCCCATTTTTCCCCATTTCCAGGTGAACTCCTGGAGCGGCTCCATCGAGGTGGGCGTCACGGCGCTGGACCCGGCCGAGCTGGAGTTCCCCAGCAGCGCCACGGGGCTGCGGGGCGGTTCCTGGGTGGTTTCGGGCTGCTCGGTGCTGCGGGACGGGCGCTCCCTGCGCGAGGATTTCGGGCCGGACCTGGACGCGCTGGCCGAGGGCGACAGCGTGGGCGTGCAGGCCACGGCCGGCGGCGAGCTGCGCCTCTGGGTCAACGGGCGCGACTGCGGCGTGGCGGCCGCCGGCATCCCCGCCCGCGTCTGGGCCGTGGTGGATCTGTACGGGAAATGCACCCAGGTCACCGTGCTGGACGCGGAGACGGAGACGGGGACGGACGGACGCGGGGACGGACGCGGGGCGGACGGAGGAGAGGAGGGGACGGCGGCCGCGGAGGGGATGGGGGGTGAGAGAAGGGGGGTTTGGGGG